AAAAAGTACAGGTCGCATTTATAATCCGATTTGGATGAAATTTGGCACTTATTTGGCCCAAGGACAAACCCTATTGAAATATCTCCAATATATAGTTTCGTCGGATTTAAGGTAAATGCTGCACCCAAGTCCCTATATATCATTCGATTTACACGAAATTTGGCATAGAGTACAGAATTAGGTCCAGAATGATGTGTGCTAAGTTTCGTGCAAATCGGTTCAGATTTGGATTTAGCTCCCATATATAGTTTCGTTCGATTTAAGGTAAATGGTGCACCCAAGTCCCTATATATCATTCGATTTGCACGAAATTTGGCATAGAGTATTGAATTAGGTCCAGAATAATGTGTGCTAAGTTTCGTGAAAATCGGTCCAGATTTAGATATAGCTCCCATATATTTTCGTCCGATTTACGGTAAATAGTTCATTAAAGAGTCTATACATCTTTCGATTTGCACGACATTTGGCACAGCGTAATGAATGGTGTGTGTTAAGTTTTGTGAAAAGCGGTTCAGATTTAGATATAGCTCCCGTATATATTTTCGTCCGATTTAATGTAAGTGGTGTACCAATGTCCCTATATTTCTTTCGATTTGCACGAAATTTGGCATAGCTTACTTAATTGAGTCTAGAATGATGTGTGCTAAGTTTCGTGAAAATCAGCACAGATTTGGACATAGCTCCCATATATATTTTCGTCCGATTCAATGTAAATGGAGTACCAAAGTCCCTATATATCTCTCGATTTGAACGAAATTTGGCACTGCTTACTTAATTGAGTCTAGATTGATGAGTGTTAAGTTTGGTGAAAATCGGTTCAGATTTAGATATAGCTAACGTATATATTTTCGTCCGATTTAAAGTTAATGGTGCACCAAAGTCCCTATATATCTCTCGATTTGAACGAAATTTGGCATAGCTTACTTAATTGAGTCTAGATTGATGAGTGTTGAAATCGCTTCAGATGTAGATATAGCTTCCATATATAGTTTCGTCCGATTTTATGTAAATGGAGTACAAAAGAGTCAAATTTAGGGCGATTGGCACAAAATTTTGCACAGCGTACTGAATTAGGTCCAAATATATGTATGCGAAGCCTTGTTGAAATCTGTTCAGATTTAGTTATAGCTCACATGTAGAGTTTCCTCCGATTTTCGATATTTTGAGGTTCTTGAGCGCGTTTTTCAATCGAATTCGCTGAAATTTTGTATATAGTGTTGCTATTGGGTACCCAATTTCGTCACAAAAAATTATACATATAGGTCCATTTTTTCTGGTAGTCCCCATATAACGGTGCCCTCTAATTTTCAGTATTTTGGGGGTTTTGATCGTAGTTTTCAACCGAATTGACTGAAATTTAGAACTTTGAGTTCTTATTGGGTACCAAATCTCTCCACTAAAAATTATAAATATAGGTCCATTTTTTCTGGCAGCCCCCATATAAGGGTACCCCCCAAATGTCGGTATTTTGGGGTTCTTGAGCGCATTTTTCAACCGATTTCGCTAAATCTAGGTCCAATTTTTCTGGTAGCCCCCATATAAGGGTACCCCCCAATTTTCGCTATTTTGAGGTTCTTGAGCACGTTTTTCAACCGAATTCGCTGAAATTTGGTATTTTGTAGTCGAATATGGTAACAAATTTCCCTACAACAATTTTTTAATATGCACCCCCTTTTTGGGGAAGTCCCCATATAACCCCTTTTTTATATTAAAATAGTTATGCAATTTGTTCCGCGTTTTGGGTTTGGTTCTAAGACTCTGTTGTAACTATATCACCTGCGGAAGATATCGAGATAAAAAAACTAGCACGTAAGGTTCGATAATGAACTATAACCCGTATTTAAACCTAGCCCTTGAGTGGGAGGTACCAGAAGGAGTGGACCGATATTCCCTATCTTCGAATTTGAACTAAGTTTGGAAAAATAAAAAGATGTGCAAAGTTTGGATGAAATCTAAATTTTTTGAAACGGATTTGGTCCAAAGAAACATAAGGTCTAGAATCAATATTTCGATGAGGCACATTTTCATGGTGTAAAGTGTATACACCCTCATTAGCCATAAGGCTGAGGGTATAATTATCCATTAAAATTTTCCGAAATTTGTATTATAGTTTACATAGAAATGTCGGTATAGGTCCACTTTTTGGTATGTTACCTATATTTTCATTTCTAGTACCTGTCAGTATATCTATGGTGGATGGTATCCAAAGTTCGGCCCGGCCGAACTTAACGCTTATTCACTTGTTTTATTTAAGATTCTCATACCGAATATTTATATGCTCTATGTTTTGACATGTCCTTCTCGGGGATTTTTAAATGTTTCAGACCAAAGGGTTGTAATTTGTTATTTCCTGTTCTCGGAGCATACAAATCCTTCTAGAAGAAAATTTGACTCATACAACAGTCCCGCCCATTTTATGCATTTCAAATAAAAGTGCCTGTAATTTGGCTATAGAAAAATTCAAAATACTCCATCTTGATTACCAAGGTTATAAAAAACTGTGAACTTAACGGTAAAGCGATGGCGAGGATATGTCTCCCAACTATATATGTGTACAGGTCAACAACGTACACAGGATTTCATTTCGGGGGGCCGGTAGTACAAATTAAAACCAGTGGGCGAGGCAGTATAGTCGGACGGGGCCGACCATATAATACCCTACACAACTTCCACTATAATCTAACTTTGCGTTATTTGCACCCTCTTGCCATCCGACTAAAGGTCAACAAATATTAGCAATATTCAGTAGACGAGGGCTGTACTTGTCCAGATTCTCCGTGGGTCACGATGTGATGTTGGTGATGTTAATTTCAAAAAAAAAACCAGTAAGGAAAGTAGTAAAGTCGGGCTGGGCCGACTATATGATACCCTTCACCACTTTGGGTATATTCTACATATGTATCCAGCTGACCAACGTACCCTATACCAAAATTCGTGCAAATCGAAAGATATATAGGGACTTTGGCGCACCAATTACATAAAATCGGACGAAAATATATATGGGAGCTATATCTAAATCTGAACCGATTTTCACGAAACTTTGCAACATCATTCTAGACTTAATTCATTACGCTATGCCAAAATTCGTGCAAATGAAAAGATTTCCAGGGACTTTGGTGCACCAATTACCTACAATCGGGCGGAAATATATGTGGGAGCATGAAACTTAGCACAAATTATTACAGACTCAAATGTCAGTACGCTATGCCCAATTTCGTGCAAATCGAAAGATATATAGGGTCTTTGGTACACCAATTACCTTAAATCGGATGAAAATATATATGGGAGCTATATCTAAATCTGGACCGATTGTCACGAAACTTAGCATACATCATTCTAGACCTCATTCATTACGCTGTGCCAAATTTCGTGCAAATCGAAAGATATATAGGGACTTTTGTACACAATTTACCTTAAATCGGACGAAGATATATATGGGAGCTATATCTAAATCTGAACCGATTTTCACGAAACTTGGCATACATCATTCTAGACCTTATTCATTACGCTGTGCCAAATTTCGTGCAAATCGAAAGATATATAGGGACTTTGGTATAAAATTTACCTTAAATCGGACGAAGATATATATGGGAGCTATATCTAAATCTGAACCGATTTTTATGAAATTTTACACACATCATTCTAGACCTAATTCATTACGCTGTGCCAATTTTCGTGCAAATCGAAAGATATATAGGGACCGTTTACATTAAATCGGACGAAAATATATATGGGAGCTATATCTAAATCTGAACCGATTTTCCCAATTTTAATAGGGTTCGTCCTTGGGCCAAACAAATGAGCTGTGCCAAATTTCATCCAATTCGGATCATAAATGCGACCTGTACATTGTTTACAATTTTACATCTACAGACGGACAGACGGACGGACGGACATGCATAAATCGACTCAGAAAGTGATTCTATGCATATTCTCAAAAGGAACCATGGGTCTATCTTGATTATTTTTGCCTGTTACAAACATATGCACAAAGACATAATACCCTGTACCACAGTGTGGTGAAGGGTATAAAAATTCGCTGTTGCAGACATACATTTACTGTTAAAAAATTCATTTTGGGGGGCCCTGGCCCCCCGGTCCGCCCCCCTGCGTACGTCCCTGGTACAGGTTGTTGCTACGGTTCTAATATCTACAAATGTCCTTTCATTTCCCCACTTCATCAAGGGTGTCACACTTCTATCGAATCATTTCAATATCATCAATAAATTGTAAATTCTACCTCTTCGAAAAGTTTCCAAATTATTTACAAAAATATATACACATCTGCTATGGAACCACCAAGAAGGACAACTGGCGACTGACTGTATTTGAATTGAACACTTTGTTTTCATTTACCAACAAAAACTGAAGACAAAAAAAATTAAAAAAAAGAAATATATATATTTTTTACAAAAATAATATTTTTTTATATATATTTGTGGTGGATTGCATGAAATATTTGATTACGTTACTACAACAAAACAGCTCATAAATATGTAACATTTACAAAAACAAAAATACATTTTCTTTCAGGCTAATTTAACAGCTATTTGAACAATTGCCATAATTATGAGCCATTCCCTTCTGTTTTCTTAATTTTCAAATAATCATTTCTTTTTTTTTTGTTTCTTCAAATTAGGGTTTCTTTTTGTTGTTGTTGCTTCAAATTTCAATTTGCTCTATTTGCATTAAAGTGTCGCATGGGCAGTGGTGGAGGTGGCGGGGATGAGACAGGTTGTGGTTGTGGTGGTGTCGATGGCATTTGTGAATTGGGTGGTGATGATTTCGAGGATTTTTTACAGGGAATCAATGGCAATGTGTCGCTAGATAGCATATGGTGGTGGTGGTGGTATTGGTGATTGGAAGAGGTGGTGGTGGTGGTATTGTTGTTGTTATTATTGTTATTAAGAAGAAGATGCATTTGCGGATGTTGCTGCTGAATTTGTTGTTGTTGCGAAACAATGCCAGAATTGGTGTTTTGGTAAGCGTTTAGTACCCACCTTGAATGTGGAAACTGCATTGAGGGCGCATTGAACATCGGCGTCGGTGTATGTGGCGGCTGCAGTGATTGCGCAGCAGCCGTATCTGGATGTAAGAAATTTTTACGCTGCTCCACACGTTCCTGATGTTGGCTCAAACATCTTGTTATTATCTCCGGTAAACTTTCCATGTGATCCTGTGTGGAGTTTGGGGAGGGCGAGAGAAAAGATAAAATATTGTTAGAATATTTTTAGCAATGTTCTTAAGAAAGTTTTGTTTTTTAAATCATGAACACAGTACTTGTAAGGCTTGTAATTTATCCTCAAGATTGGTCAAACGTTCTTCAATGGCATCCTGTCGACTGGACATATCCGATATTATTTCATATACCGTATTTTGAGTCTAGAAAAATGGGAGATTATTAGAGTATTTTTGGTTTATAGAAAAAAGTTGTAAATATTAATAGCAATGAATATTTATATACCACAATTTGTTTATAATTAATATTTGACTAAAAACGTATATTGAATACTTTCCCTTGCATTAAAAATATGAGTTCAGAAGGTATGAAATTGAGCCGCACAATTAAACGAGATACATATTCCATAAGAGATAAGGACTTCACTACTACATTACCTTTTTAAAAAATGTAATTCGAGCCTAAGCACAATTTCGCACATTTTTGGATTCTAATAACAGTAATAATATTAGAATATTAGAACATCAAAGCTCTTGTAAATATTTCAATATATTTTCGTATCCATCAGCATAACTCACTCTCATAGATAACTACGTAAAGGCTAATAGGTTCCTCTTTCACATAGTGGCAATTTTATGGAGAAGTCACTCATGAAGAAGTCTTTTTTACAGGGAGGGATGTGTCAAAACATTGATCTCTGGTGGCTTTTGGCTTTTTTGGTGCTTGTCCAGTGTCAAGCTAAATTTAAATTTGTCCAGTTAAATTGAAATTTTTATTACACTGGATTAATATGAGCAATAGTTTTCATGTTATCTTTCACAAATCATGTTAGCCATCACTGATTCACTCAAAATATTCCCGGCGACGCCATATTATTGATTCTGTCTGTTCACATTTTGATAGGACTCGCAATGTTGTTTGGTATTGAAAATAAGATATATCGGCCCAATTTTTTGGTAAGAGAATATCGGTCTCATATTGGGTGTCAAATTTTCCTACCATGGTATATGTATTTTGAATGCGCAGCTCATGGTGGAGAGTTTTTTATGTCCAGCTTTTTACGAATCGGAATCCGACATCTCTAACTTATACTGACGTCTTTATTCACCAGGTATGCTAAATTTTAATAATTTATGTAGAAAACCAGTAAGGAAAGTATTAAAGTCGGACTGGACCGACTATATGATATCCTTCACCACTTTGGGTATATTCTACATATGTATCCGAAAAGTCGTCGCCTTTTTGAAGGAATTTTGACATGAAATTGAACGAACTTAAATATGTAATTTTTATGTCTTTCTGGAACCTATGATAAATTTCATTTCATTTGGGCAAGTTTAGAGTTTCGATAGCGCACAGTGGGACAGATTTGTGTAAATCGATTTAAAGCTAACTTGACCTTCGCTATGCCAAAATTCGTGCAAATCGAATGATTTTCGGAGACTTTGGTGTACGATTTACCTAAAATCGGACGGAACTATGTATCAAATTATTTTCAGGGACTCTGATGCACCATTTACCTAAAATCGGGCAAAACTATATATGGAAGCTATTTGTAAATCTAAACCGATTTTCACGAAACTTAACACACATCATTCTAGACCTAATTCAATAGGTTATACCAAC